CTTCCAAATCCAGACAGACAGACAGGTATGACCAACCAATCAGACATCGTGATAGTAAACAAGGACCAGAAGATAGTGGTGGTGATAGATGCCACGTGACAGAAACATCGGGAAGAAGGAGAATGAGAAATTGGAGACGTACCAGGGCCTGAAAGAGGAACTAGAGAAGAACTAGAGTAGAACATAAAGGTCAAAGTGGTTCCAGTAGTGGTTGGAGTACTTGGGGCTATGACTCCTAACCTGGGAGAATGGCTCCAACAAATCCCAGGAACAACATCACAGCTTTCTGACCAGAATAACACATTGCTACGATCAGCTAAAATATTGCACCAAACCCCCAAACTCCCAGGCCTCTGGTAGAGGAGATTAAGGAAGACTTGTACCAACCTCTGGGGTAAGAAAGGATTTTAAAAAATTCTCTCTTCACCACTGTCCCCCATGATCTTGCAAGGCCCATGGGACTCAGTCCTATTCTGGATCATTTATGTTCCTTTTCTGTTCTTTCTGTGATTTTCCCCAGCTCCCTTTTAGTCCCTTTAAAATTATATTTTTCTCCACTCAGATAACAAAATGGCAATATATTATAAACAATAGTTATAATATCTGTCTATGGTATCAGGACATAATTTAAGCAGAGCACAATAATTCATCACATTATGGCAGATAATGTATATTCTGCCTTGTTTTCCTATTAGTCTATATATTCCATCAAACTTTTCTGTATGCACACCAAAGAAAATGAAATCTTAAATGAAGCTTAAGTAACTGTTCAAATAACTTCCTTGGCAGGATATTTTCAATCCCATATTCACAGGGAAAATATTCTGCATATGCCCTTAGGGCTTTTTGCTTGGAAATATTTCTTTCTGTACAATTCCAGTTGGAGAATAAAGTGCAATTTAGAAATGTTGAAGATGAGATACTCAGTTACTTGACAAGATTACAGGTATATCCCGGGAGTAGAAGATGGTACATACAAGCTTAATCCCTAATTCAATCCTCCCAGTAATACGGTAACTTTATGGGTGGGGGGGAGGGAGCTGAGAGACTCCTGACTTGTCTAGAGTCATCCATTGAATTTCACAGCTGAGGGGAAATGAAGTGTGGATTTCTCTTACCCAGTCTATATCCACACAATTACGTTACTCTCCTCTCTTCCTGTCCTGAGGCTAGAAAGAACTCATACTTAAATCTTTCTGCCCTCACAGTACACTCTTAGCACATATTTAGAATAGATCAGTGCTGTGCCGCTGTCCATACACTTTAACATGCAACATTCTAAAGGATGTCATTGCTGGTTCCTTTGGTTAAAATTCTAGCCCCATCAAACATTCACCATGAGTAAGACTCATCCAGCTGGCATGAACAAGGTTCTGGTTACTCCATGCACTGATTTATTTACTATTTTTTTAAATTTCATGAAACAATGAGCCAACCGTCTATGGAGATTTTCAATCATCCAGATCATAGTGATCCCAAAGTTGCTTTTTCACAAGGCAACTGGACTTTCTTGATTTTCTTTGAAAACAGAGGGGGGAAGATATGATATTATCTATCTTCAGTGTACAACAGTAGTTCCAAGAAGGCTCCACACCCATTTGTGCTACTCAGATGACCCTGACAACACAGATAAATCTCCAGGTGGCCTCAACAACTCTCTTAAAAGAATGCAAATGACCAGCTGCCTGCAAGGAGTATAAATCCTTCCATTCCCCACCATCCAGTCAGAGCTGAAGAAGCTTCTTGGATTAGAAGCAAAACATCTTTAAAGAAAAACAAAGTCCAGTTGCCTTGTGAAAAAGCATCTTTGGGATAATGAGCTAACCAATCAAATGTTTGGTCTATTGGCCACTACATGGCAGTAGAGGTAGAGTTTTTGTATCTCTTGGTTGCCATCTTGTGGTTGGAGTTGTACAGTTGTTTCATAAGTATTGCATAGGAGCTGGTATTTGGGAAAGAAGTTTAGCTATAGGGATTAGTGTGGGAACTGTAAACTACCTTAAGAACATTATCTCAAAGGTGCTTTTTCAAGAGGCAACTGGACTTTTTTGTTGTTCTTTGAAGACATTTCACTTCTAGAGCTGAAGAAACTTCTTGGATGAGAAGCGAAATGTCTTCAAAAAAACCCAAGAAAGTCCAGTTACCTCTTTGGGACAACCATAACCTGGATGATTGAGAATCTCCATAGACACTTAAGAGCATTATGTTATGAAAAGAAGTGAGGAGTTACAACTCCTGGCAACAGCAGGCACTGGAAAGCAAAGTCCCTGCCTGCCAGGCTGTAGAAGTACAAGGGACAAGTTCTTTCAATTATATTTTCAATTACACTATTAAGTGAGGGACAGGCAATTTCAGGGCTGTGCAGTCTAGTTGATCAGTGGACTAACCTATTCAAAAAGGAAAAGTGTATCCCAGTCTCCCCAAGAGTCAAAGAGGATTGAAGTGTAGGAAAAGACATCAGGGATAGAAGTCTGCAAACCTATGGCAATTGGCAAAAGCTACAGATTTGCTGACACAAAGCGTTCATTTCAAGTCACCTCCTCTATGCACATCAACATGTCCTATATTGACTGTGGGGTGTTACCAAGGTTCTTCTCCTTTCTCCAAAACCAGTTCCAGTTGGCTTATTGCAAGTAGAATACCTGACCCCAAAGCATCTAATTTTCAAATTGCTTTAGGGCTTCACACTATCACCCCTCTTGTTTAACACTGAGGAATGTCATCTCTCAGTTCAGGGTCAGGTATCAGTATATTGATGATTCTCAGTACCTCTCAAGCCTTGTCTGGCCCTGCGTTGTGATCAAGATATTATTCCAGTGCCTGAGATCTAGATGGGGAGGAAGAGGCTCAGATCAACCTTAGTGAGACTGAATGGCTATGGGTGCTTTGTCCTCTAGTTCTGAGGGCCTTCCATCCTTTGATCCTATCATATCTCTGTTAAGGGATGGTGTGCAATTTAGGGATCTTTCTTGGAATTCCAGATTCTGCTCAAAGGCCTTTCCATAGGTTCAGTTTGGGTGATAATTGAACATTTCTGGATTAAGAGCTCCTTTTTCTACAGTTACCCTTGACTTAATCACCTCACAAGTAGATTATTGCAATGTGATCTACATGGGGCTGCCCTTAAGGATGATTTGGAAGCTGCAGCTGGTCCAAAATGCAGCAGCACAAGCAATGATGGGCAAGCCTGACTATGCCCACATAACAGTCCTGCCATGTGAGCTGCTCTGTGTCTCAGTTTGCTTCCAGGTACAATTAAAAGTGCTGGTTATTATGGATTAGTTCTATGTGGCATAGGACTAGCTATTTGTGCATCAGCCTATCTCCCACTGTGGCAGCCTGTCATGCACTATTGAACAAAATCAGCTTGCTTTAGGTCCTATCTGTTCAGTAATGCCACCTGGTAGGATTCACTGGGCCTTCTCTGTTGCAGTATCTGTCCTTTGGAAGAGCAACACTCTGCCTCCACCACTCACCCAATTTGTATGGGTCCCAATTTGCCCACTTTTAAATGATCTTTAAAGCCCTGTTTTTTTCCCAGGCCAAGGGTTGGGTATTGAATCAACACCCTTTGAACTGGATGTAGTAGGGCTGGAGATCACGTTATCTTTCAGGCATTCATCATTCTTCATGTAACGTTATTTCTTTTAATCTATGAAGCCTCCCAGAGTTATTTTTGGTCCTCCCAGGAATTTATTCATTCAATCAAGGAAAAATTTGCTGCCTTGTTTTGATGTTTTTAACAGTTGTTTTTATTGGCTATAAAATAAATCACACAGTCTTGGGAGTTTTACGTTGACAAATAAAATGGACTATTTATTTGCCTACTTTCTTGATGTTTTGATTTTTATAATACTCAAGATGGCTTAAATCAAACAATACATTCTCAAACCATATTCTGTTTCCAGTATACCTCATAACCAAGTGGAAATTAAGCTGTTTTGATATCCATGTGACTGGTGCAGAATTCATAAGAACATTTGACTTTACGAAGCCCAGATTGACATGATATTTTTAAACATGAAATTGCAATAACACCATAGAGAGCACCAAGTGGTTGCATCCGTGACATATGAGGATACATAGCACAATGAACACAAGTTTATGGCAAGCATAACTTTTATATCACAACTGGCACTGTTTATTAGTGAATCTAAGGGTAACAAATAGCATCAGATGCTCCCAAGGTGCAGAGCATCAAATTGACTTACCTTTGCAATGGGTATAGAATATTTTACCTATCATTTCTGGGACACAATTCTTTGAAGTTGAGGCATGAATTTTATGTTCTTCATAGAGTTACTGTCTATTTTTTACACATGGAAAGCTGAGGCTAACAGCAACTGGGCCAAGTAATTTAAATGGTATAACTGAAGTCTGAATTAAAACTTGATTTTTTTTAAAAAAAAAGGTAACGCTGGAAGAGAGTCTTTTAAAAGATATATTTCATACCTTTTCATCACTCTTTTCATGAAAATTTTTCCATTAATATTTTTAATGAAAAAAAATCATATTTTTCATTAATGATAGTTAAACCAAAGTGATTTTAAAAGGTCTCCAATCCTGGGATGATCAAAATTATCAATATTGGTTTCTCCTAGCTTCTATTTTTCCCAAACATCTAGCTTTGTTTTTATCAATTTATCTGTTTTGCAAATATGTCATTTGTTTTTATTGTTCTTAAGTTCATATAAAACATTGCATGTATGTTGGTGCACATTTTCTCCAAAGATACACAACTTAGTTTATAAGATTCTAGTTAGTCCTATCCCTCAGATCTCTTGTAGAATGTTTCTTCATATTATTTTCATGAATGTATGCAGTTTTATTTGCTTGTTTTACATTTTTGAACATTGCTGGTAAATTTCATTGCAACATTCTGAAAAATGTAAACTTTGCATAGTAGCCCACTTCCTGTTGGTATGTTGCTACAAAAAAATGCAAAATTAGAGATATTTCCACTTAACACATTTCTAAATATATTTCTCCCTCCTCCCTAGTTTCTTTAGAAATTAAGAAGAACCGCAAGGCTAGAAAATCAGATCACCCAAACCGAATTCAAATTTTCATACCGGAACCTACTACCTGAGACGGTGATCAAAACACAGAAGCCAGGCAAGAAATGATTGGTGTATTATTATTGGTTCAGGAAAATGAGACTCCTTTGCCCATTATCCCAGCAATGCTGGTAAGTGCACAAGCACACACATATTCTCTTACACAAATCTTAATCTTTGGCTCCAGAAGCAGTAGATTGCCACAACCAGTCGGCAGCCTAAAACCATTAATCTCTGTTGCTTGTCCAACTGGTACTAGTAAGTAAAGAAGATAATACACAAGCAGAATCAGTGACCCACTACAAATTGGTCCTGAAAAGTCCACAACCCTAAATAGACTTTTGCTGATCCAACACTTGTTAGGAATCTGAACAAAGGGACGATTGGCTCATCTGATGAGCAGCTTGCTATTGGGCCTTTCACAGTGGCCAGTGATGGATGAGCAGCCTCCTTTTGAGGGGGAAGATGCAGCTCTTGGTATGGGGCCTTTTCTCATCTTAAATTTGTACTCAATAAATCACAGGTGCAGAGGAGACAGCATCAGTTTCATTACACCTACATGCTCCAGTATCAATCATGCCAACACAACGGACTGTGTGCAGTTCATTTGGAGAAGCTCCCCCTCCCTCCCCAGCTTAGAGTTCTACTCACCAATGCCATTTCCATTCCCTTGTACTTATGCATTTCAAGAGCCTTCACGTCAGCTCTGTCCATGCAGCCTGCAGAAAAGAACATTTCCCTCCCTTATTTAAGTTTAGGGTTTTTTGGGCCTCTAAAGGGTATCTCCTCTGGACTGTGGGTTTGTTTTTTCCAGCTTCAGAATGCTTTCCCAAGCAATTAAGGCATAATAGGAATAGTCTTGGGTATGATTAAAATGTTTGCCAATTAATTTTATTAAACTGTAGATTTTGATCAGTCAAGTTATGATTGGAGTTTGAGTCTAAGTGTGTCCTGAATTGACTAGAAATGGTGTGGATGCAGTGGTCCACCTGTACTGGCCTTGCATTAATATTCTCCAGAAGATATTGGGCTGTGGAGCATTAGAAGCAGTTGCTACTATAACACTCAGTTTAGCTAGCACTATGTTTGTCTGAAAATAAGACCACCTGAATTTAAGATGGCTTACCCAAACAAATAGCAAGCATTGATTGAAAGAAATCATACAACCAGACAAAAATTATATACCCTATCCGGAATATATAGAAATTCATGAATAGTAAAAATATGAAGTCAGTATGAAGAACAATGTAATCAGTACAGAGATTCACAACATGCCTTTATTCAAAATGGAATTACCTGATCTTCTACAATTGTATCAATACTGCCCATCCCGAAACCCAGGAGATATTGTTTACAGTACTGGTGGCAGTATAATGTGCCTTATTCCATATGGTCTAATTCTTACAAAAGATCAGTTATTCAATAAAGAAGTTTCTACTTTAGTTTCCTTGGTTCATAAATATCCAGAGCTCTTAAAAAGAACATATAGGTTTCTTTGCTTTAGACCTTTATATGCTTGCTTGCTATATTAATTTAATGTAGACATTAGTTCCAGTTAAAATCATCAAATCACCAGAGCTCCCTGGGACAGCTTATCAATTATATACTGTCAAAACATTGATGGAAATGGGTGAAGTTTCTAAAATAAAAGCAGAAATAAAAGTAGGTGGTTTGTTTTAAGACTTAAAGAGAGAAAATGGTTCAGAAATTGAACTATAAACTAAGAAGTTCTTGCTTCAGATTTTGGCCACATGATTATTTTGCTCAAACAAGGGTGGGCAATCTGCCCCTAGGCAGGCTGGCACTCTCTTTCTCTCCTTTCCTCCACCTTCTACTGTATCTTCAGAATGGAGATGTTAAACAACCCCATAGCTCTGTGTAAAGAATTCTGGCACAATCAAAACAGAGTCTTTCAATATTCTGAAATAATAAGTGCAGAAATGCAGGAAGATTTGTATGAAATCTATACAATGTGATTTCTTAGTTCAATAACACACACACACACACACACACACAGAGAGAGAGAGAGAGAGAGAGAGAGAGGAGAGAGAGAGAGAGAGAGAGAGAGAGAGAGAGAGAGAGAGAGAGAGAGAGAGAGAGAGAGAGAGAGAGAGTTACATTTTGTGTAGTAAATTTCTTCTGGAATCCAGACTATCTATAATACCCTGTTAATCTTTGGCCAAGTAAAAAGCCATGTCAGCACAGAAGAAACGTGTGTCCAAAAGCAGACTGGAACGAGCACACATTTGCAGCAGTCAAACAAAAGGAGTGTTTCAAAAGGAACACTTTCATTCAGTTTAAACTTAATTGGATTGGCACTTTTGTTTATTTGTCTGGAGGCTAGGGCAAGAGAAAGGAGCAGTATTTGGAATACCAGAGGGATAAACTCTGGATCTTTTTATTGTCAGCTGAAGTACAAATCAAATATTGTCATTAGATTAGAAAATAAAAGTTCTATTACATGAATCAGAAATTTTTTTCTTTCTAGTGTTTTCCTTCATGATGAGGGGAACATGTACAATGACAATTAAAAATATCAACTTAGTATAAAGTGATCATAATGCATCCTTCACCTGATGTTTTCATTAGTATAGTCATGGTGTTAGTCACCCCAACTCCACCCCAATGTGAGGAATTACAGGGTTGTTAAAAGAAAAAAAGTCAGAGGTGTCTGATAGAAGCTACTTTAATTTCACACGTCATGACATTATTGTGGTGTTTATATGCACTACGTGATTTGCAAATTGATTTCATTTGTCTAATGGCATCATGACATGCATGGCATCATTTGTTTCTCTTGTAGATGCCTACAGTTCTGAGCAACTCTGCAACAAATGTGCAATTTTAGGTCAAATATTGGATCACATTAAGGATCCTTAAATATGGTTTTTCCAAAACATCCATTCATTTGTGTATGCAATCATGCCTATGGTAGAATTATGAGAAATGCAATCCAAACTTTATGAAGAATATCAGAAAGGGGGAGGGTTTGTTAACCCACCTTGGTTTAAAGAAACCCAAGGGATCCCATCAGCTGTAAGAAGACCAATCTGTTTCATTTTGGAGCATCAAGGAATTGGAGACACACCAACAAAGCAAGCATGAGATCTGTTGTTGATCAACTGCTAAGTATGTCTGCTTAGGACATAGCTTTCCTTCATTATCTCCAGATATATGTTACCAAGAGCTGATAGATTTTGAAACTTGAATTTTAAATTGTTTCTTTTCTTTCTTTTCTTTTTTTTCTTGCTTTCTTTTTCAAACATAGGTAGAAACAATCTTTTGTGCTTCTCATCAAGCAACTTTGTGCTTGTCTCCATTCTCCTTTGGCAACCTATTGATTTGGCTTAATAGCTGTGCATATTTTTGGTTGATGTTAATCAGACTTTTAGGTTATTTGCCCATTGGACAGAAGCAGTGACATCTCATTGATCTAGACAAATCTTCAAAGATACAACAAGCCTTTAGACTGACTATGTTATACATTATATTGTATGATTGGACACACAAGGACAAATCACACTTGGCCAATGAAGAATTCTATTCTATTAAATATGTAAACTTATATTTGCTAAACTTTCCATAAATTGCACAATTTTTGAGAGATTAAAGAAAGGTGAAATCTTTGTTTAATGACAACTTTTTATATTTTTCTGAGTGGGTATTACAATGGCATTGTTCTTTCTTCTAAATAAGATTGTGTCCAAAAGAATTAACAAAATAAATTAAAACAAGATTTTTTTTCAAGTGATGATTTGGGGTGAATCATGAATATTCAATAAAGCGTGTATCCAGGGCTCTGTTTAACTAAACAACATCAGTAGGCTAACATTTTTCCTAGAAATAAGAAGAGCATGCAGATTCTGTCCAATTGCCAACATAGTCCTATATTCTCTCCTAAGAAGCTTGATGAATTCCTCTAAGCCAGACATGTCAAACCTGCGATGTCACATGATGTCATGCAATGTTTGGGGACTGTTTTGCCATTGCTAGCAATGGGGTGGGCACGGCTTTCACATGACGCATCTGGCCCGCGGGCTGGCAGTTTGACATCCCTGCTCTAAACAAAGTAATAAGAAGAATATGAATATAGTAGTATTCTTCAGTTTGTGCACCTCCCATCAACCAATACTGATAGTGACTATAGCATGGAACCATAATGGCTAATCATAATTAACTGTCTTATCTTCCATGAATGTTTCTGATGCTCTAAGTTGTGGCCATTCCTGTAAACTTTGTAATAAACTACATGGTTATGCTAAATGCATAGTTCTATTGTGCTTGAAGAAATCTATCCTCTTTGAATTTTTTACATACAGCTTCATGGGGTGACCACATTTCTAGTATTATTGCAAACGAAGGAAAAGTTTCTCACATATGCCTCAGTCATCTCAAGACTGTTTAATATGGTTTTAAGCATGATGCCAACCTGAACAACCTTCACCTGGACCAAAAGAAAGCAACTCCTAAAGAAAGCAAACTCTTCTCCTTAAAATGGCGGAGAAATGAGGACACGTGCAGCTCATTTTAAAACATGTGCACTGAATGATACTTTAGCTCAGGGGTAGGCAACCTTGGCTCTTTTATGACTCGTGGACTTCAACTTGGCATAACTTGGCTGGCTCAGGAATTCTGGGAGTTGAAGTCCACGAGTCATAAAAGAGCCAAGGTTGCCTACCCCTGCTTTAGCTCAATGCAAAGTAGTATTTATTATCCAGGGGTGTCAAACTGCTGGCCCACGGGCCTGATGCGTCATGGTGAAACCATACCCACCCCATTGCCGGCACTGGAAAAAAAGTCACAATACGTCACGACACGTCACAGGATGTTGTGAGTTTGACACCCCTGCTCTATGCTAACATCATTCCTAGAACTGGGACAATTTAGAGGTTTCTATTTAGGATTGCATGCAGTTGTGCAAGGCCTCAGACATGGACTTACCCTTACTGAGATGTTCGTTATAAAGACTTTTGTACTATTATGAAAAAAACACTATGCAAAGAGTCAGCAGTAATTTTTGTGCAGTAATTATGTAATATACATATTCAAACAAAGTGTTATCCTATTCTAGGTCAAACTATTGTCAGCCTAGCCCTAGCCCATCATTGTCTCTGATTCTCCAATATCTTAAGTAAAGTTCTTTTCAGATGGAGTTGTCAGAGATTGTACCAAGCCACTTCTACATCCAAACCATGTGCTTTCTATTCATTGTTTATCTTTCATTTATTTGTTCATCAAATTTCTCTACCACCACAATCTGATAGACTTGATTCTAAGCAACAGAATAAGTACAAAATAAAAAAAATCACAGTATACCAATAAATCAATCAATGATAAGTATATAAAATTGGCCTTGCTTCTAAAAACAATTGAAACCAATATCTATTAACAATTAATCTTTTCCTGTTAAATGTGTATTTGTAAAAGGGCCTATACAGAATGAAACAGATTGATAAGAAAAAGTTTTTATTTTTAGACTATTTTAAAAATATTTTGTTTATAGATCCTTGAAGATTCTGGTTTGTGCAAATGATCTGGTCTTTCTTTTATAGACTAAGACGTTTACTGCATTTAATTTTTTTGTTTTCATAATTCTTTGAATTTTCAGATACAATTCTTGATTTAAAATATGCATAAACTTAAAAAGAATATTTTAAGTTTAAATGCAGTTGAATACAGTTTAAAATAGCTTTAGAATGAAACTTTTTTATGAGCATCACTTTGGTACTGTGGTTAAGACATCAGGTAGAAACTATGAGATTCTGAGTTCTAGTCCTACCTTAGACCCAAAGCCAGCTAGCTGCCCTTGGGCCAGTCCCTCTCCCTCAGCCCTAGGAAGAAATAAATGGCAGAACACTTCTGAAAAACCTTGCCTATCAAACTGCAGGAACCTTTGTAGGAATCAACACTGACCTGTCGGACAACCGTATATTAAAATCATCCATGTTTTATTAATACTACATTAAACATAATGCATTACTATGTCTTTTAAAAACTTTATAGACAGGTGTAGAAATGGGTCAGAGTAAACTTACAGATAAACACATCTGGAAATAGTCTGATTTGTTCATCCAATTTTTATTCCTATTAGGTGATGTATAATATAGAAACAAATTAGTACAGTAGTGTGGAAATGGGAAAACAAATCAGCAGTGTAAGATCTCAGTATCTAGAAAAGTATATTGGAGCAGAATGTCACACCTATTAACATTAACTTTTTTTAATTAAGTGCATGATCAGTGCTAACTCTCTGTGTACATAATGGTAGTTATCTTTAGGCCATCTATTTATAAATATGTACTGCCTTTGATACAAAAATGATATGACCTGCAAAAAAATTGAAAGCACCTTTTCAGGTTTTTTTGAGACAGAAGAAAAACAATCTCTCAGCTACAGAATATGGAAATCAATAAAATACTATCTTATAATTGCTCTAAACTATCTATAGGTAGGCTGTAAGGGAGGGATTGTTGGAATCAATCCAGTGAAATCTTTCCAAGTTATTTTTTTCTCTCCAAGTGATTTTTCTCCCCTGTTGGAGGAGGGAGTTAATTATTTATTAGTGAATGAAGTATCAATTTCTGTTTAAACATCGATCGAGTGATGCCAAATATTAGTCAGTTCCTAATAATTTTGAGGGATTCAAAAGATAATAAAAGTAATAGTCCATTACATTACTCACTTCAGCAAGATTGTAATGAACATAATAAATTCCAGATCAGGGTTATAACAACTTCCATCTATTTAAAATGAACTTGTAGGTTACTTTCATTAACTATGTATATGGAGAAAATGATCTGACATATTACTTTAAAGAGCCGTAAAACTGATTAGAAGGAAATATGCTTCTCAGATAGTGATTTTGGCCGCTGGGGACATTTTATCCCAGGGAAGAGAGAAGAGGGCCAGACGCCGGAGGGATACAATGACAACAGTTTCAGCGAAAGAAACTAAAACTTTCCATTATTTGTGCTTAAGAAAGGAAGCCTCTTCTTAATAAGGCTGAAGGATCCTTCTCCATGCTACAGGCAATTTCTGCCTCAAAACGAAACTCTCCCTGCCCCTGGAATGGCCTTTTGGCAGCCCAGGGGAAGGCTGAGGTATTAAGGGGAACTCTGCCCTCATTGCAGGAAAGAGGCAAGGGAGCTAGCACTTGACTGCACTATAGAAATTACTGCGGCACCTAGAATGCTGGATCTATTTATCAATTTCATTGCAAGGAGAGAAGGGGGAGAGGAGGGAAAAAAAAAAAGAACCCATAAGTCTGCCTTTTCAGCTATATGCTAAATCTAGACTCCCAAGCCGGTCATGTGTATTATGAAGAGCTTTGGAGAAAGTAATACTAATGATTTATACCTAATTGAATCTCTGAGTGATTAAAATGCTCATAATGAATGAAAAACATCCTTCTAATACTCCATATACACACATAGGGAGAGAGAAGAGAAAAAAACACCAAATGGTTCCCTCTCCTCTTTGTAGAAGGTTTCTTGGTTAGTGACCAGGCCATTACACCCATGGCTTTTATCATAGCTCAGCTGAAACAATGTCATTATTAATTCTCAGATCATCCAAAAACTATTGAATTCATGGACCAGATGAGAAGAAGATATTTAAACACACACAGTGAAAAATTATTCACCCCCAGATATACATCTGGACAACTGAATTTAGAAAGAAGGAAAGGCAGGCAGGCAGGCAGATCTGTCTAAAACAAAGTATTGATTCATGGAAACCAGCTCCAATAAGACAGTCCCATAACTCCAAATACATGGAAAAATCTAAACTCTGCACAAATGGTTTTATTCCTAACCTTATCCAGCTGTTCCATCTTATTTAAAAAGCAACAGAGGAAAGCACCCACAGAGGCTATAGAAAGATGATCAGTTGGAAAATACCCCCCTTCATTGAGTTCTAAGCTTTTTATCAATATTATTTTATTTTTTAAAAAAAGAATTAATTTTCTTTATCATTATATCCAAATTGCATTGAGTAAATTTTAAATGGTGAACTATTTTAATATTTTATGTGGAAACTTAATTTCTGATGTGTTTTAAAAAACTATTTTAGCTCTTGTTATCCTGTCTATTAATTTACAAATATATCCAAGACATTTTTGAGAAATGTCCACTTTTACATATTATAAGCTATATGGGATCTTGTTATAAATTAGGAATCTATAAATCCTTCTGTGACTAATAAGATAGTTTTATGGAATACATTTGGAGAAGCATTAGAAAATCCTGTTTCCTAACAAAATTTCTCCAAAGTTCTCTGCTCAGGTTTTTTTTGTTTTGTTTTGTTTTTTGTTTTCGGTCATTCTTAGGACAATTTGGAATCTTTTTGGATTGCCTTGGATGATGAGACATCTCTGAAGAGTTCTGTAGTCTCATTAATAATCTAACCTAGTCTGCAGCCTTTGTAGCTTTCTTAGCTGAGTTCCACCAATTTTTCTTCCTTGAAAAAAAAAAAAGAAAGTGGAAGAAAAATTCAGCACAATGCGATAAGAAACTGTCAGCAGGAGACAGGAAAGATGGTCATACAAGGATTTCCATTATTGACAAAGAGAGATTATGAACAAGAAAAAGGTGAGTCAATTTCACTTTTGAAATGAATGATTCTCACTAGGAATATGAAAAATATGCTGATCTTGACCAGATTTGAAATTGTTGTACTATATCCTCTGTTTATATAATAACTTGAGACAAATGGTGTGCAAAATGTTTCAAATCTGAACCTTTTTGAATTCCAAACCCCTGATTCAAACTTGAAACAGTTATTTGAATTTGAGTGGCTGTTTTCATATTTGGAATAGGCTTTGTCAATAGTTTTAGAAGTGTTTTGATTTTCAAACATCTGTTCCAAATTAAAGCCACTCTTCTTCAAACTAAAACACTTCTAATAGGGCTGAAATAGCCATTTTGAAAACAAAACAAATTTGAAATACTTTGAATCTGAAACATTTTGTTTCTCTGTACCCAAGACCCAAATCATTGGCATCCTTGAGACATTTGAATTGTTTTTATCCCAAGTTACGTTCACGTTTTAGCAAGCTAGAAGTTTAATTTTATACTCAAGCCTACCTCACATAGGAAACTATTTTGAGGTCAGTTATTTTATGTTGAAAGTTGTGTTTGTTAAATTACTCGATTATGACTGTTATTTACAGATTTAATACTGTGTTCTGACATTTTATTCTATTTTGTGATTGTGGGCATTTTATTGTTGATGCTTCCTAAATTGTATTCTAAACTGTTGCAGGCTGTTTTATGCCAGGAACATATGCTTTATAAATATGATAAATGAAACATACCAGAAAATTCTTTTCTATATAATATTGGCAAGGCATTTGGACATGCACTTTCAGGAAGCTCTGATATTCAGGCAGAAATGGAATGTAAGTCCTTTCTTTTCTTTTCTTTTTTCCTATGTTATATTGGTCTTGAAAGTGTTGAGGGCACAATGGAAGCATTTCTAAGAGCATGGATTTGACCTGAGTAATGATTAGTAGAAAAGTTTTATTTATAATAAAAAGGAGATTTCCTTAAGGAAATACATTCTAGACACCGACACAGCCTAGAGAAAGTCAAAAAGGATCTACTTTTTGTCATAGTCCCTTGGGGGGAAAGAAAGAAGAAAACCATTTGAGATAGCACTCTCGCAGATAAAGCATAAGTGAAATGATAGACAAAGAGGGGGCACATAGTAAATCCTTCACTCTCTAACTATAACCTATTGCCCTCTTGTGGTCAGTAGGTCAAGAGGTGTTGAAGAGTCATTGCCCTTAAGTCACCCTTGCAATGGTCTAGGGGATAGGGAAAGTTAACTATTTTCCTGTTGCTGCAAGCAATAGAAGGAAATTATTTGGACCATCCATTGATGCTGCAGGCCTTCCCTAATCCTTCTGTGCTGGCCCTCTAACTTCTCCCTTTCAAATCTTTCCTAATCTCTAGTGTTAAATGATGTGATACTCTTCCCCACAGTGGCTAGGAAGACAATCTGAGGTCAGATCTCTTCTGAGGATGGGCCCATATTTGCACAGAGAGATCTCATCTCTTATCTACCTCTTGGATGCAGGATTGGAGTATAAGGCTGCAAAATTATGATGCAAGTGAAACTATCAAGTCGATGTACTTTAACTGAAGGGAAACAATGGACACAGCATTAGAAATAGAACTGGAGAAAAACCGAATAAGTGGATAGTGGGAATTAATTGAATAAATAAAGAGAATAGAATTTTGCTTTTATATATTCATATTAACAATGTTTATTATACTCAAGCAACTTTATTTTGAAGCAGGACATCATTATTTATGTTTGTTTATATGGATAATGTTCATGTAAAATTTCAATAAACTTTACATGAACCACTTTTAATATTTTAATGTACACATCTGATTTTCTATTTTCTCTCTCCACCACTATCCCCAATCTTCTTTCTAATATATCTCTAAGTTCAGTTTTTTCCTCTTTATTTTCTCTCTTCCTTCTCTCAGGAATGTCATAGATGAGCTGAGCTGAAGCCTTCGATAGTGCAAGGGTAGATCTGTTTGATTCTTTTTAAAAAAATATTTGCAGCATTTAATAAATTCTGAGCATTTTAGGAATGACAATAATAGTTATAGTTAAAACTGACTGGGACTTGTGCGAAGCATTTCTATATGTTGGTATATTCTTTTTTTTTTTTTTTTTACTTCAAATTGAATCCTTTTGCTGCATGTTGGTAGTGGAAGATTCCTTAACATGCATTTTCAGGGTGAAATGAATTCTTATCTCTAGTTATTTTTTATTCTTATTTAAGAATATATCCTGCATGTTTTCTCTTAGTGCTTCAACACTCTTTATTGTCCTTCAATGAGTCATAACAAATGATACAATTTATAAATTCCATATCCAGCAGAGAACTTGAATCTACTGAAGGATATAGAACAGCTATTTCTAGCAGTTGAAAGTTCTGGTTTCTTTAGTTTTAAACATTCTAATTAAGAATTAATTTTGACATAGAAAATCATTACAAATTATTCTTAGATTTCATCATATTCATTGATGCTGAGCTCTTAGAAGGCATGGGAACTGCCTTATCAGATGCTGAATGCCGATTGCTATCAGGAACAGGCTGTTGTCATGGATAATAAAGGGGAAAAACAGGTGTCAGATGAACTGCCTGATTAATAGAGCATTACTTACGATGTCGTTGACCCAAAACACAACCTTTGGGTCTAATTTTGCTTGTCATGCTGGCATCAGCCTGGAACGATGCCACTGAGGCCAGTGTTACTAAGAACAGGCTTGGAGTGCAATTTAATCCTCTGCCTATTTAGACAGAATTCTACTGAGTTCAGTGAGTTTATATCAAGGTAACTATACTAGAGACTGCAACTCTAAGCTTTTTTAAAAAGTCTCAACAAGATTTTTGGAGCAAAATAACTTCTGATACCATTAAGAAAATCCTAGGTTCTATCCATATAATTCCACTCCTCACATCTGAATATAATTAAGTCATTATTAGCAGGAGAGCAAGACTTTTTTTCAGCCTAGAATGATGATAACCTTTAGTAATTTCAACATTTGAAGGAGCATAGCTAATTATAATTGTAACAATTTATTAAATTTATATGCCATCCAACTCCCAGCACCCTTCCCTCCTCTGCCCCTTATTTTCTTGTTCCTCTCTTCTATTTTCAAAGGGCCAACCAGACAGAAATTTAACTGTGCTGCTTTTATGGGCATAGATCATTCTGACTGCATTTTCTTTTCCCTATCTCTGTTGAAGAGTTAGCATCATATCTCCAATATGCATTTGAGAGAGTGTTGCACATGCACAAATGGTTTTCCCTCTCTGTCACTGAAATTTTAAAAAACATTGAAGTAATTTATAATTATGTTGACAATCCTCTCCACCCCTGCAAACCATTATTTAGATGCCTTGAGGTATGCAGCCATTTTATGAGAGCTGGATCCTATAGAGAAATTAAGGTCAAAGAAATCTGTTTTTATCTTTTCAAACAATCAGTCCGTATGGTAAATGGGTGCAATATAACGGATTCTGAGGGTTTTGAATTACCCTCTGTGATTCATCTATGCTTGTATTAGCAAACTTGCTTGTTCTCCAATGCTTTCATGTTTAATTGGGAGAAAAACTTTACTGATTTTTAAAAAGTCATTTGCTGACTTACTTGAAAAGGGACTACATGCTGGGGTCATTTTAGTAACACATATCTCCAAAGTCAACCTAAATAAACACCTATTCATTCACAACCAGATTCTGATAGGCATATGTAGCAGAGTGCTATGGACATATTTCTGGCCTTCTAAGATATACACACCAATACAAGTAAGTAAATAAATAACATATTCTACTTTTTTAAAAAACAAAAAAGTATGTGATCAAAGTTTGTGGTTTTGCAAATGGAAGGCTCTTTTCAATTGGAAAGAAAATAAAATTCAGTGACATGTTATTTCTGAAGGAACAGAGAAGAGGATTCCAAGTCCCCCAAGGTTTAGTATCCTCTAAAACAGCTTGTTAACAGTAACAGAGTCTAGGAAAAAAAAAACAAGGATAGAGAAGCTAGATGGACAGATATATAATTTAAAGTTTTAAAGCAGTGGTTTTGAATTTTTGTAGATCAAAGCAGCATCATTATTTTCAGTGCCCAAATTTTAAACAGTGAGGTCAAGAGTTTTCTAAGTCTGTCCTGCCACAACTCCTTAGATGCATCACTTCAATTGTTACTTTCCTAGGTACATATATATTGCTGGATGTTTCAACACTCCAGAAATCTGTTTCCTGGATTATCCTTGATTACTCTTTTAATACAAATATAACTTTGTCCACCATACAGAATAACAGGATAACAGAGTTCAAAGTCCATCTTTTTAGGTCTTAAAATTGGTAACTGGTTGAATTGTTTTTACCAGAACTGTTTTCCTAATGTGTAATGGTATAATAGGAACGACAGGGAGAAGATATGAAGAAGAGGGGCAGCCAAGGGAATAATAAGATAGAAAGCAGCTTAGCCCAGATTAGGAATGTGGACCACATACTGTAAGTAGCTCAGCAGGGATCCTCCCTAGTTTCTAGAGGGGGGAGGAGAGAAATGTATTTTCAGACTTGCAAGATTCATACAGTAAAACTCATCTGGCTATGTTCCTGTCTGGTCTACCTTGCAACTCTGACATAATGTTTATCTAGCAATCTATTAATCTCTAACATCTAATTCTTAGTGTCAAAGGAGATCAGCGTTTGCATAATGTATAAATATGCACTGTGTATTCAAGTATTAGTAGAGTGGCATATTATGCAACCCTAACCAGTTCCCAATTTCTTCAGTTCTTACATATCCACTTACTCATCTTTCCTCATAGGACTTGATGGAATTTGCTTTCCATACAGCTGATCATCTTTATTGCTCTTCTCTGATCATGCAAAGCATGAGAGCCTGGAATGAAAAAGAAAATAAACAATAGAATGAATCTAGAACTAGTTTGGAGGCAACCTTTCTTATTCAGTTTCAGATACCAATAATGGAATCAGATCTTGCTAATTAAACCTGGCATTTTAAACTCATAATTCTAAAGTATTTCAGCTTGTTATTCCTCATCTCTGTGTTCATCCACTGGGAAAGATACAACTTTATGTTAAATAAGGATGAGCATATATTTTACAAAAGAGGATCCTCTGTTGGATGTTCTATCTAGAACAAGTCTAGCTTGGAGGTAAAGGATCCCACACAAGGAGAACAGCCACATACTTGAAATTGCTTATGAAAAGTTAACTCTAGGTGGGCTGACAAGGTTACCCAATGATGCTCATTGCAGTTATTGAGAGATGTATCTTTATTTAAATTATAGTTATTGTTTCTAAATTATGCAATTTGCATAAAATATGTACATTTTATTCAAAGTAACAATCTACTTGGGCCTTTCATGGAGATGATTCATTTCCTCAGTTTGGGAAAAGGGAGAAGTAACCCGCAACTGTATTTTTGACTTAGAAAATTCTGCAAGAAGAAGTAAACAAGCAGAACTAAGATAAATCCCAAGAAATATGGCAGAGTTAAGCAAAGAGGGTCTTCTCTGATATCTTTTCTGGGCAGTATCCCCAGAAAAGCAAGAACTGGAACACATATTGTGATGACCTCAGATGATTTAACTTTTCTTTATTTTATAGTTCACCTGGCACAAAAGAGTACCTGAAAAGTAGATGACAATAGATGAACTGCAGGAAACAAGGATTTGTCCCAGATAACATGATCAAACTTTTTTTTAACATAGTTCAGTTTAAGCTGTACTGATTCCCAGAAGGTTCCCTTCCTCTTCAAGGACTAGTTAGCTGTACAAACATATCATTTGCTTTTTGCATGTCTTTGAAGTATTCTCAAAACACAAGAGTAATAATTGGATACTCTCACCTCACCTGGCCTGCACAGCTTGGGTCATGTATGTAAACACCCTAGTCAAATAACAACCCCAAAATTTAATTTATTTCCACCCAAACAAGTTCTTTTATCATAAAGCAATAAATTTGTCTTGGTGCTAGCAATTTGTTATGGGTGACATAACATTGCAAATTGATTAATCGCTACTGTATAGGACAAAATGAAAAAAGCAAGAAATTATTATGAATAGCGTCCATCTGATACAGTAGGGATTCATTATTCAAAAGTGTTTGCTAGTGGTTAGCTATCCCCCTGCTGCAAATTACATTTATTTGCAGACTTCCTACATCATGCGTATACAAATCTACAAACATGCATTTATTAAGACATAGAATGAAAGCTATTAAAATATGAAAAATGGTTCTTCCTTGCTTTTTAAAAAATATTATTTTTATATGTAGGTATGCTACTGCTATGCTCATGCATTTGTTGATTTTAGGCTTTGGCTGCTGAACTAGTCCTACAATTTAACGACACTTAACTGTTCATTTTTACCTTTTCACATGTAGATTTCACATCTCTTTTGTAGTCAAATGTAAGAGCTGAAATGTGTTAGAAAAGGAGATATTTGTGTTTTTTCATAGGCCAGTGGTGGCGAACCTATGGCACGCGTGCCAGAGGCAGCACTCAGAGCCCTCTCTGTGGGCACACATGCCATTGCCCCAGTCCTAGGCCTTCAGCTGGGTTTTATAAAATCTTTTCGCTTTAGGCCTCCACCGCCGTGTGCAAAAAAAAAAAGGTTCAATCAATCAATTTCAACTTCTCGCAGGGAAAAAAAAAGATCTCGCAAAGTTGAAATTGATTGATTGAACTTTTTAGTCCCACCCAGTCTGCCGTTACCACCTCAGCCACACCTACCCAATGGGCCACACCCACCCAATGGGCCACACCCACCCGGCACCCGACGATACGTAAGTGGGTTTTGGGTTTCAGTTTGGGCACTCAGTTTCTAAAAAGTTCGAAATCACTGTCATTCGCCATCACTGTCATAAGTGGGTTTTGGGTTGCAGTTTGGGCACTCAGTTTCTAAAAGGTTCACCATCACTGTCATAGGCTTTTAATGTTTAAAATAAGGGTGAGAGATCTTTTCAATTGAATGTCATTTTAAAGTAATCATAAGGACTTTCAAAGAATTGAAATGCAAGAGGAGATGCATGTAGTATACTTATAATGTGGCTAAGAAAAGGTTAATATTCCAAGTGTAGAACATTCCAGGTATAATATGCCAAGCATGGCAATATTCAAAATCTAGAAATTAGAAGTTAATAATTTTGCTCTTAAGTTAAGAAATGTCATCATACAATGCATTGTTTTTGTATCATTAACTGATCCAATTGTCCATTGTCTATGTTATGGTAATCTGAAATCCTCAAACTCCATATCTCTTCCATGTCTCCTCCTCCTTAAAGGTGACTCATGGAGCCCTCTCAGATTGTGCTGTTGAAATTTGAAACACAACAGTCCAAATACACTAGTCCACCTGATAGATCATCACTTTAAAAAAATTAAACAGAATGACCAAAGAGAATTTAGACGTTGTAATGCACAATTTTTTATTCAATTTTTGATGGTAAAGGAGAGTTTTCTTTCAGGGCTTAAAAGATCATAAAGACATACCTGAACTCAAAGGAATTGTACTCGCTGTCTGTCTGTCTCTCAGTCTCCATCCCTCCCTCTCTCCCTTCCTCTCTCTGTCTCTTTCTCTTGCACACATATCCCCACTACCACCACACACTTTTGCTTATACACATTTTTTATTAGTCTGTTAAGAATTTTTTTCAAATCTTATCTTGAAAAGAACTCAAGTTGAGGCCTGTCTACTTTTTGATCACTGAACTAGTTTACTAACAGGCTGTATGCAATGTAAATATGAAATGGTAGATTCCTTCTTGGCTAAGACACAAAGGATGAATCTGGTGATTGATTTTAAATTAAGCACTGGGCAAAGATGGATTTGCATAGCATCTGCATTTGTTAAGGTGTATAACATCTGTATATCCTAAGGTACAATTATTGCTATAATTAAAGAATTAACTATGCTCTATCTTATTGTTTCAGGGAGAACTGCGACTGTATGACTACATGTCTACTATTAAGGCATTTTTGATGGACAGTTCCCTCTTCTGATTTTTAAACAATAAACTTGGGCACCTCAGTTAATGCAAGGATGGGCAACCTGATTGCCCTGTGGCTGCAGGCAGTCTTTGAGCTAATATCATGCAGGGTTTGTTCTAATTTCAGGACCTCTGTGAAAACAAAAAAGGCTGAAGACAGATCTTATTAAAAGGTATCAATTCCTTCCTGGCAGCCAGTAGAAAGCGAGAGAGGATAGAGGGAGGAGAAAAAAGGTGTCAAAATAATAGAATGAGAGTAAGCAAAAGAAGAGTGTCTGAGAGAGAAACAGAAGGAATGTCAGAGAGATAATAGTTGCTTCAGTTCTCCCATTTCACACCCCCCAGGAATGTATGGCCTTCAAAAATCAAATTTTCATCCCTGAGCTAGTTAACTTTTTACTGGAAGGTTGTCTCTCTTATAAAGTAAGATGCGGTGACTCTACCATCTTAACAACAGTAAAAAATGGAATCCGATATCATTAACCTCATCAAAGAATGTGATAATATAATCACCTTTCATTGAACTATCAAATATTCAAGTCATTATTTAAAACTAAAAGTCCTTGAAATCCAGGCATAATCTAAGTAATACTGTTAGGATCTGACTACAAGAAACAACAGAAGAAGCAAACAAGAAGAGCTCAGCATTTTATGTAATATGACCTAAAACAGAGGAAGTTGTTTGCTCTGGGGTGCTGTTATTGAGCATGCAAGCATGGTGGACAGCTGGTTCCATATGCTCAATTTCTCCCTGACATCCCATTTTCTTTCTTGGTCTCTTACTTTGTCAAATGGGCAGTGGCATACAGCACAATCTCAATGCTTGAAAGGATTGAGTACTTTTCCAAGGTTGCCTATACAAAGCTACCAATTTCCATATTATACATTGTAAAGGTGAGAGAGAGAGAGAGAGAGAGAGAGAGAGAGAGAGAGAGAGAGAGAGAGAGAGAGAGAGAGAGAGAGAGATGGTATGAGCACCAATGATAGCTAGACTTTGTTTAAAATACTCACCAGGTAGCTAAGGCAGCAGATTCTACATTTATGCAACTTTGATTGCATCTTGGGAATATTTGAAACACTGTTGTGTAATGAAAAGTTAATCTTACTTGCTGGGAAATGCATTTAGATAGCATTTTCTGCCTTTTATACTGAATGCCTGCTATAGCTCATTGATCATGCCCAAAGAGCATAGATCCATTGGGAGCCTTCTGTACTTAACAGAACATTCTTCTGGCAGAATATGGGAAGACATCCTTTCACAAAGATATGGACACTATAGACAGCCTTAGACAACAAACAATAAAGACATTCTTTGGAATAAGTGCTAGTTAATATAGTGGAAATTATTACAAATAAATACAATCCCATTGTTGGCTTTAATAACTAATGATAAAGAAGGATTATGTTGATGGCATATTCCAACATAATAATAGTGGCAGTGTGGACTATGCACAGAATAGTTGTTCATGCTTGCCTTCTTTATCGTATGATTTCTTTACTTTTATATAATATTGTTTTCCACTGGTATTTGACATAGTAAACTTGTTTAAAGATTATGTGAGTGGCAAAATTCCCAAAAAATAATAGAGGCAATATATAACTGTTCTGATGATTCCTTCCTTCCTTTATACATTTCTAGACTTTACTATAAGTTCAGAAATATATTAAAAACCAAACACAACACTTGCTGAAGCCTATGAAAGAGATAGATAACATGAAAATAGGATGGATGGCACATAGCAGTAGTTAAGTAGAAGTGAAATTCTGGATTCTTTTTTAAAAAAAAACAACTCTAATTAAACTTGTATAAGAATATGCATTTTAGCAAAGCAGGATTAGGAAGAGAAAAAGAAAGAAATAAGAAAAAAAGGGGGAAAAGGGTAGGGCCACTATTTAAAGAAGATGGTAGAAAAATAATAAGTGACAGGGACATGGCAGAGCTCTTTAACTCTTTCATATGTTCAGGATCCAGGCAAATACAAACCAGCCAATCTAAATTGACACTGAGCAATGCTCTTGAAAAGATTGTTCAATGGTGACGTATTAATACCACTCTACAATGCCTTGGTAAGGCCACACTTGGAATATTGCATCCAGTTTTGGTCACCACAATGTAAAAAAGATGTTGAGATTCTAGAAAGAGTAGAGAGAAGAGCAACAAAGATGATTAGGGGACTGGAGGCTAAAACATATAAGGAACGGTTGCTAGAATTGGGTATGTCTAGTTTAACGAAGAGAAGAACAAGGGGGGACATGATAGCAGTATTCCAATATCCCAGGGGCTGCCATAAAGAAGAGGGAATCAAGCTATTTTCCAAAGCACCTGAAGGCAGGACAAGAAGCAACGGGTGGAAACTAATCAAGGAGAGAAGCAACCTAGAACTAAAGAGAAACTTCCTGACAGTGAGAACAATTAATCAGTGGAACAGCCTGCCTCCAGAAGCAGTAAATGCTCCAACACTGGAATTTTTAAAGAAGAGACTGGACAGCCATTTGTCCAAAATGGTGTAGGGTTTCCTGTCTGAGCAGGGGTTGGACTAGATGACCTCCAAGGTCCCTTCCAAGTTTACTACTATTATATTATATTAATTATTTTTTGAGCATTGAGAGATGAATGCAGTGCTTGGCAGAAGTCACCATAGATTTGTCAAGAAAGTTGTATAAAACTGACTTGAAGGGAATAATGCAGAGATACATGACACATGATACCAGTCTTCTCCAAGAAACCTAGACAAAATTATTCAGAATTCTTAGAGAAGACCAGACTGATCAATGAGTGTAAATCAGTGTTTCGTATATTAAGAATATTAAGATGTGTGGACTTCGATTCCCATAATTCCCTAGCCAATGTGAAAGAGAGAGAGAGAGAGAGAGAGAGAGAGAGAGAGAGAGAGAGAGAGAGAGAGAGAGAGAGAATATTAAATACATTTGTTATCATGTGTGTTTATGGGGGATAGTTTTTCAGATATTCTCCCTCCTTCACCCCACAATTCCACAAATGCCCCTAAAGTTATATATTAAAAAAAGAAGGGGAAGAAGAGAGAAGAATATTGGATTTCAGTTAATGAAAATTCTGTTTGCAATCCGAGTACCAGTCTTCACTACAATCCTAGCATCTGTATGGATGCAGAGATCCTTGTGGCTTTGCCTCTTTTTACCAGTTTCTCATTAGTAGCACTTTTTTCCTTTGCACAAGAGTTGCTGAAGAAGCTGCCATCTATGTTCTCCTCAATGCATTCCTGGATGTATTTTCTTCTGGAATTTCCTTCTTCTTTCCTCCTCCTCCTCCTCTTCCTCCTCTTCCTCCTCCTCTTCTTCCTCCTCCTCCTCCTCCTCTGGCTGTTCCAAAAGTTGGCAGAAATGGTTTCTGCATCTATCCCAAAAGTGCTTTTTCAAAAGGCAATGGTACTTTCTTTGTTTTTCCTGGAAGAAGTTTTGCTTTTCATCCAAGAAGCTTCTGAAGAACTGAATGACTGAGCATCTCCATAGACATTCCTGTATCAGGGACAAGAAATCATTATGGTCTGCCATGAACCATCCCCCAAATCACATTGGCCTGTTCTATAGGGAAAAGACCCATTCCTGAAGAAAGCAGAATGTTTTATATACAAGCCACTACACTTCTAGTTATTATATATTTCTTTTTTAAAAAATCAGTGTTTAAGTCTGACTTAATCTTATTGCTGCAGTTCTAAAATGACTGCACCATTTCAATTCTACTTTATCTGCGAATATCAGACATTTTGTTAAAAAGCAAAATTACTGCCTTGCAGGGTTTTGTTTCTTATCTGACAATGGGAAAAAGGAAGCTCCATTTAAATTTAAATAAATCCTGTTTTAAATATGGAAACTGGATAATCTCTGGTTCAGTCCAAAGAGAAACAGTCCATCAAAGTTCCATATCTGATTTCCCAATCAGAGGTAATAGATGACGCATAATCAATAAATCAATGTATCTTAAATAAGTACCAGTGAATTACTTTCATTCAGCATCATTTAAAATAGGATACATAAATCAATAATGTCTAACCAAATCAGTATCTTCCTATACCAGAATAATCATACAGAAATAAAACAAATAATTTTAAGTCAATCTAATTTCCAGACTTAATCTATGGAATTCAGCATTGCTCCTAATATTTTAAAAATATTTCCTGCTGTCTTGTGGGATTTTGTTTTGTTTTTGCTCTGCAGTTTTGAAGAGCAACTATGATCATGCATAATTAAAAATATAGCCAATTTACCATGAAATGAAAATGATGGCAACCAATGAAGTGGGGCAATGTGTAGGGGGGTGAAGGAGGGGGGAGCAATTGCCTTTGGGTAGAAGTGCTGTATCTCCTTCAGATGCCTAATGTCTTGGTTGGGCCTTTTGATGCTTCTTGGAGGAAAAAAAATATTTTGCCTATATGAAAACATTTATCTCTGGATATATCATTTTAACTCACTTTTACTGAGTTGTTAGTGAAACTGAGATAATGGCTTCTTTAAACCCATAAATAGGCCTTTCCCCATAGTTGGAAGACAGATAACAATTTACTTTATTGATTTATTAAAATATATAGTCATTAGACCAAACACCAAACAAAAAAAGTTTTCTTTAAAAAAGAATACAGATGTTTGTTAAAACCTATTCATTCCTGAGCTCTGCACATCTAAAAGATAGAATGTATCAAGAAATTCCAATTGTCGTGACTATAGTACAAAATTCATATATAATTCTAGAGAATTTCCAGTCCTGGTTGTTCAGTAGGGAGTACACAATTGCCTTTGAGAACCTTCTAAATAGTTTATAATAACAGGGGGAATTAACTCTGGCTTCTAGGCATGATAGATACAGCACTTCAGAAACATACTCAACTATTTTAGTTTCAGAATCTGAGTAGATACATAAACACTAATTAATCTATCCAACAGTACCATTGAAAAGAGACCATCCAGATTTGCCAATGTGAAAGTCAGTGTGAGGTGGGGGCTCATAATTAATAGAGATATTTGGGAGTAATGAATTGAGGGTACAGGAGCTTAGTGTAGCAGAGATTTTAAAAAATTAGTTCTACCTCTTTGTAAAACAAGGTCAAACATTCTTTGCTCGTGTTCTTGCCAAGCTTCATTCAAACCTAGCATAAATACTAATTGTGGGTTTAGCCTACAATAACCCAGATAATCTATTATTCATTTCTTCTAGGGAGACTGATATGTCATCAAAACTGCAGCTGAAGTGGAAGAAATGCATTAGATATAGAATAGGGAACTCAAGATAGAGATCTGAAGAAGCTAGGCTGAACAGGTGCCAATACATGAGTATCCAAGCACTATATAGCAATCTGTCACCCAATTGATTGCCAGGATTAATTCAGCAATTCAGTATAGATATAAGAATGGCTTAGACATCATGTTCATACACATTGTTTATAAAGGGAAAGAAAGAAAGGCATAAATCTCTTTCAATAGTTACATTTTGTTATGTTATTGAAAAGCAGAAATCATCAGTGTGTTTATTAGAAGAAAGTAAATGTTTGTATTGGCCAACATTAAAAGGCTGATACTTAATTGTTAAAATTTCCAAGCATTTCT